AAAAAAAAAAAAAACACTCGCAAAGCAGCAAGGAAGACACCCAATGTTGACCATGGCGAACGACCCAACAACAAAGATATCGGCAAAGGTATCTGAAACGCTGCACCGCCGCTACCATTGCCGCTACTACTGCTAGCTGTCGTTATTCGCTGCTCGCCGTCGTCTCCCCTTGCTGTTACTGCCACTGCTGTTGCTTGCAGTCGTGAGAGAGAGAGAGAGAGAGAGAGAGAGAGAGAGAGAGTATTTTGGGGATTTTTGAAATTGGGGATTTTTTGTTTAAGGGATTGGGGATTGGGGATTTGAGATCGTGAGAAACAAAAGAGGGGAAAGAAAGGGGGGAATTCGTATAGAAAGAGTGGGAGAACGAAAAGAAAAAAAAGAAGAGAAGAGGAGAGTTAGGGTTGGCGGTGTGAACCGGATCGTTTTATTTATATTTTGTTAAAATAATTTATTTATTTATTTTTTTTTTTTTTGTAATTAATGAAATTTTTTTTTTTCATTTTTTTTTAGTTATTAAGGTTGAAAATTTATTTATTTCATTTTTATTTTAATAAAAAATATATATATATATTTTTTTTTTATTTGATAAAAATAGGGGTAATATTTTAATGAAAAATATTTTCTATTAAAATAAAGTTAATTTTTTATGGTCAATGAAAAATATTTTTCTGTGGCCCATTTTTTTGGTTACTAAAAATCAGGAACTAATTTTTTGTGATAAATGTTAGGGAGCAGCAGTAGTGGTAAAGGTGGTGGATAAAGGGTGATGGTGGTAGTGGCGGTGATGGCAAAGGAGATTAGTGGTGAAATTGTGGTAGTGGTAGAGGAGATAGAGTGGCGGTGGTGGAAGAAAGGTAATGGTAGTAGTAGTGGCAGAAGTGATGGTGGTGGTAGTGGAGTGGTGGCGATGGTGGTAGTAATAGTAATCGTAGAGATGGAGTGACAACAGTGGTAGTAGTGGTGGTAGTGGAATGCCATTTGCAGTAGTGGTGAATGTGGTAGAGGAGATGGATGGTGAGAGAGAGAGATAAGTGAGAGACAGATAGAGAAAAGAGAGAGAGAGATAGAGAAAAGAGAGAAAGAGAGTGGCCATTAAAAGTGTATTTTCTTGTAGTGGATCGATAAATTGAGAAGGAGCTCGATAAATAGAGAAGAGGGAAGGGAAAGAGTGAGCAAGGTGAACATAATGAGGGAGAGACAAAGAGAGAGAGAGAGAGATAAACAAACAGGTAGACAGAGAAAGAAAGAAAGAGAGAGAGAAGAGTGATGAGTGAGAGAGAGACAAAAAGATAAAGAAAAAGAGAAAGAAATAAGAGATGAGCGAGAGATAGACAAAAAGATAGAGAAAGAGAGCAAAAAGAGATGAACGAGAGAGAGACATAGAAAAAGAGAAAGACGGAGAGAGATAGAGAGAGAAAAGAAATGAGAGAGATAGAGAGAAGAGAGATGAGCGAAAGACACACAGAGAGAGAGATAGATGAGAGACAGAGACAGAAAGACAGAGAAGAGTGATAAGTGAGAGAGAGAAAGAGAAAAGAGAGAGTGTGACATGAAGACGAAAAAATGGGTGAAAAAAGAAATGTTATATCAAAAGAGTAAGACGACGTCGTTTTTTTTATTTTTTTTATTTTTTTGCGACAGAAAAATACCATTACATTTATTCAAACCATTTTGTGACTGTATATAGATGAAGCCATCTCAAGCCACAATATTATTTTTACTCTTTCTTTTTTTTCTTTTTTCTTTTTTTTTTTTGGCAATGGTACTTATTACAGTAGCAAAAAACTCACTTTTTTCTTTTTCTTTTTTTTTCTTTTTTGTTGCTACCGCATCTGGTGCCATCGCAAAAACTCTATTTTCTCACGACAGCAATCTCTACTGTCGCAATACTCTTCTTTTTTGCAATAGCAATTTCTGCCGTCTCAAATGCTCTTCTTTTTCGCGACAACATTTTCTGTTGTCGTAAATACCCTATATTTCTGCGATAGCAAATTGTGCCGTTGCAACAAACTCACCTTTTTCGCGACAGCAAATTGTGCCATTGCAAAAACGCTCCTTTTTCGCGACAGTAAGTTATACCGTTGCAAAAAAGTCACTTTTTGAGACGGCAAGTGTGCCGCCGCAAATGCTTCTGTCTTTTAAGCCCACTTTTCTTGTAGTGCAACTTTGATACGATCTTAAAATAATTAATTTAAAATTAATTGACAAATAGTGAAAGGGCCTTTTAGGTATATACTAACCAAGTTTGAATGATTTATAATGCTTTTTATTTTATTATGTGGTTGGTTGATTTCTCCTCAACCAATTTGTGTGGTTGGTTCCCCAAATGATTGGGCATGCTTTTTTGTGCCAACCTAGTTGGGATAATTGGGCAATGCTGTGATGCTTATAGCACTACCTTTTTGTTCTTTGTTATTTCTTTATTGATGTATGATGTAAGGCTTTGCTCTTGATTCTTATCAATAAAATTTATTTTGTTGAAAAGAAAATATAGGTCAAATATATTAACTGATGTCATTTTCGCCTCTCATTTCTCTGTCACCTCCACATGCTATTCAAGGGGCCAACCCTGGCCCAAGGAGAGCTAGGCAGTCGCCTTGTTTCTACAAATTTTGTTAAATATTAAGGGTCCCGATTTATTTATTTGTTTATTAAATTATTATGGTGTTACTAGGTTTAAAAATAAACACTGAAACCAATTAATTTAACTTTACAATCCAAATTAAAGGTCCTTAGAGCATCTCCAATTAATCTTTCATATTTTCTTTCATCAAATTTTAAATTGATGAGAAAGTATTCAAGAACCATCTCCAATCATTTTATCAAATGTTCATCAAATTAAGAATAATTTTGAATTTATATTATACTTCTTTAGGGTAAAGTTTTGATTAAATGATTTTTTTTAATACAAAAAGGTCCTCAATTTGAAAATTTTGCTTGGGTCCCGATTATCTCAGGGTCACCTGCCGATGTCATT